TGCAAGAATACCCACAAAAACGTCGACCAGTGTAACAGGAATATCATTAACAAACAGAGAATTTGCCAATCTCAGTTTGTCGTGTAGAAAGTTTACACATGGTATCCACTGCTGTAGCCGTTTTGAACGGCCACAGCAGTGTACTTAAGACACGATTCGCCAGCCCATCGAGAAAGTGCGAAACATGCAAAAATTTTTTATTTGATTTTCAAATTCTACAACCAAAACTGGGGTGACGAAAAAAACACCAGACAATGTGCCTCTGAAAGTTATGTAGAGACAAAAAGTTTTCGACACTTTTTTTCGATTTTCATTTTCCAAGTTCGACTAATTTTTACTCGAAAACTTTTTGTCTCTAAATAACTTCAAAGGCACATTGTCTGGTGCACTTTTTGACGCTGATTCCAAATATTACCTTATTTTTGTTGTAGAATGAAGTATTGATGCCAAAAATCTGAAAAAATGATGTCAGCCGGCCGTCTTGTTTTCAACTTTTCAAACCGTTCCAGGGATTTTAAAACAAAGCTTTTTAGCTCAGTTTCTAGAAAATTGAATTTTCTATCTGATGTCATCTTCGTATTTCTAGGGAAATTCGGTTTGGATGCCCAAGAGTGGATTTTGGTAGAAAAGATTTGTATGTGAAAATCATAATCTTTCACTTGATGAACCTCTTACAACATCAGTATTGAGTTTAGAAAAAGAAAAGGCACCTGATTTTGTTTAGTTTTTGATGGTCTTTCGAATGAAGTATTGCTGGACCAGAACGGATAAAAAATGACAGAGTTATATCGAAAATATGAGACAGTGCTCATTTTTGCGATTCTTTGATGCACAAATTTTTGCATGTTACGCGTGTTTCGCAAAATACTCGCTTTCCTCGCGAATCGTCTCTTAATAAGTCTCTGATCCACCTAATTAGTGGATGAAATACGGTGTAACTGAAAAGAATACTGACAATTTGAATAAACGATGGATTCTTTGCAGTATTATCTCTGAATAAAGTTAAAAATATCTAATCATAAGGTACATCAAACCAACGAAAGACCTGAGATGCTTTATGTCCTACACATGACTGATAGAAAACCACAAATAAAAATCAGTCCCTAGTGAAAGTACTCATACTATGAGTACGACTTTACTCATAATTCGTCCATGAATTATGAATTCTAGTAACAACTTTTGAGCATTTTTACTCAGTCAGTACTCAGAAAATATTCATTCACCATTTTGTTTTGCAAAAATGAAATTGTATAAAGAACGTAGAATTTAGTAAAGAAACATAGAATGTTTACATTATATTTTTCTCGCTGGTCTCACGGTATTTAGTTAGATATGGACTCGATCGTCTGTTAATAGACTTGTAGTCCAACTCTGGCTGCCTGAGATCATCCTTTTATATGAAAATACCACATGAACAATACTCAATCAGTGGCGGACCGACGTGATGGCAAGGTGTGGCAATTGCCACATCAAAAAATTGGTGCGACCACATGGATGTGCTCTTAGTTTCAAAGGCGTTTTTTTTTGTTCACTACTGATACTTTTCGAAATTTATTGCCACACCAAAAAAAACAGACTCTGGCCTGCCACTGTACTCAATAACCCAAGCGTGAGTACTCAAAGTCGTTCCTACAGTACTCATTACTCACTCATGAGTACTCATGTGAGTGCTCAATGTATGAGTACGTCCGGTTTTTCCAGCAGATTACTTTTTGATTACTCACATATTAGTACATTCACTAGGGATATGTATTTTGCTAGTGAAAGCGTTAATCAATGCTGATATTCAGTATATGTTGTCTTCGACTGAATGCAAAGTAGTATAGTCTATTTTTATGTCTACAAAAATAAATGTTCCTTCGTATGAATAGTTAAAAGTAGCTTATACAAAACTGGAAAAGAAATAAGAGAGAAAGAAAGAAGTAGTACTGTTCCATGATTGTTTTTGCCTCAATATAAATAACAAAAATAATCAAGAAAGGAGCAGAATGCAGAACAAAAATATAAATCTTTGTTAAAGCAGATAAAGCGCACAGTAAATAAATCCTACATATAGAACTTAAAAAATTGATTCATACTATTCTAGAAGCAAATTTATGTATTATACAAAAAGAACACGATAACACACGCAGATATAACTGTAATTTCTACATATCTTATTTTATAAAAAATTCGTTTGATGTGATACACACAGGTATGATCGATTACTTACTTATTCCTGGTTCGCAGACTAAACAGATAAACGTATTTTGCTGAGTTAACCAAGTGCGAAAAAAGCAATCAGTACCGCCCAATGCAGCTGATTACACATGATACACTACGATACAACTGGCTTTACTAATCTACTATGTGCTAGTCAATGTATCTAGAGGAAGGCTACACTAGTGAAGTTTTTTTATCAAGCCCACAATTTTCTTTTTTCTGTCTTTTCGATCTGCTTTGACCCATAGAATTCGACATGTTAATCATTCTTTTAATGGAAATATATAGATAGGCTAAAAATACTTATGAGAGAGAGCAGATATGTATACCCGCCATAAAACATGCAAGAGAAAAAGAGTCTACTATATCTACGCAGCCATGTCATTTTCGAGCGTACTAGAATTGTAGTGTATCTGTCTTATTTATCTCATATAAGAGAAGATGTGCAGTATGTCACACATACAGATTTCTGCATGCGACTTTAAGAAGAAGATAAAGCGCTATACGATACTATGAGGATAAAAACGTTCACACGCATTTTTTTCATGTTTTAATTGACGTTTTTTAACCAGTACAACGTTCAACTTCAAAGTAAGTGCATAGCAATTTTGACATGAAGAGGGATCAAAATTAAATTATTCCGTTTTCTTGCCACAATATCGAGCTATGGATCTAAAGTCTACTCTTCGTACATGTTAACTGTGTAAAATCTCAAAATAAAAATGACAAAAGTGAGACATGCACCAAATACTTGATGTTTATCATCGCAATTATGAGTTTCATCGATATACGATTGATTTACCGGTGGTGGCTACCAGAATGTAGTGAGTATTAGTCCGCTCCTGTTTGACGTACAGAAGATTGTGCGCCATGCTATTCCGTCTCATTCACAAGATGTTAGGTTCTAGCAAGCAACTGATATTAGTGTCAGTATCTATCTACTCTAGTGAAACTTCTTGTATCAAAGATCTTGGATTAAGAAATGTCATAAGATCTTGGATACTTGACTCTTCCACTCAAGATCTTGAAACATCCTGGCTTACTCCACTCAAGATCTTGAGAACACAAATTTTAAGATCTTGAGTGAATCCACTCAGGGTGTTGCGAGAGCTTGACTAAAAAATTTTCTTTACATTTTGTTTTTATCTATGACAGTCATAGCCATCGGATACACAACCATACAGAGTCATAGGTTCTTCCTGAAACAACTATGATCAGAAAGGAAAAATATTCTAAGTTATTCTAGGTGTGAAAATATTTGCACTTATATCTACACAAGAGTGTAAAACAAAACGATGATTCAAGGATTTCCAAGATCTTGGTACAAGAAGTCAAGATCTTGACTTCTTGAAATTTCTTAAATTCTTATGTTTTCTTATCCAGATCGTGAATCAAGATCTTACTGAAAAAATTCAAGAAGTGAAGATCTCGGTTACGAGAAGTTTCACTATGGTACGGATACGCATTCTCTGAAAGTTCAAGCTTAAATTTTTCACTCACATACGGCACACGTTTCCTTATTGATAGAACCGACAGACAAACCTTGAAAGATATCATTTTTTCTCACTTTTATTCTGAGATCAGTTTCGATTTATATGTCGAACCAATACTAAGGGATTCTTATCAGATTGACTGAATTCTCCGCATATTATGCTGAGAATTCAATCAATCTGATAGGAATTTTTTTCGAAAAAACACATTAGACAGTGTGACAAAAGATAATGGGAAGGATACAGGAGTCAAAATTGCTGTGTACTTCATTTGGATTGTGAATTTTTCATCAAAAAATGACTTTGTAATTAATGATTATGGCATGATAGGAGTGTCGTATCATTGAGAAAACCCAAAAATCTGATTGCTCTATGTTCTCGAAGAAAAATCCGAGTAAAACATGGTGTAATCAAGTTTAAAAACGAAATTGTTTTCCGCTGTTCATAAAGCGATAAATCAATAATGCATGGCTTTCTCAGATGTGCGCATATCTCCATAACGGTTTAGATTTTGTTAGGTTAAAAATCATACATTTAAGACTATAGTCTTTGAACTGAATATTTATCACGGTTTGAAGCACATCTAGTGGAATTCTTAATGTGTGCATGGATGATCTAATACGTGAGTACTTCGTCAATAATATATTGTCTGTTATGTAATCAATCGACCCGCATCGGGTGCTCGATTTCTCTGAGCACCAATCACCTTTTTCACATATTACCCATTGAAGCGCTCGATTCATTGACCGATATATCTAGTACTGTTTTTTTGCATCTTGTTCTACTAGTTTATGTATCGACTTTACCCGATGCAGCTAGAGAGGTAGCTACTTTTTACTCTTTTAGCTAGATACTCTTGCTGTAGTACAACTAGTTGTTTTTGTTAGGCAGGTTTTGCTTGGCTATGACTGATTATATACCAGCCGTTAGGGTGCAAGGGAGAACCCGCATAAGTGATGGAAAATCCTAATGAATGTCCTGCAGGGTTCCGGATGCTTGAACAGGAGAAGTTTCTAGTTTCTCTCTTGAGTTTTTTATTATTCAGCGCATATGTTGCATTATCTGTTTGAATGGTTCCAATAACTTGTTTGGTGATCTTTTTCTGGAATGAAAAGTTAAAATGTATATTTTTAGATGTCAAATTTAAATAGTCAGATTGTTTGCTCTGTCTTCCTTTTTTGTTTATCTGTGATCAGTATCCAAAGTGATGAGGTACGATGGACTCATGTCAAGTTGCTAACCACTTCAAATTTCACATTTGCAACTCTTCCACCATTGAAAACTGAAGACGGGGGAGCTCCACGGCCAATGTGGCTTATATTCAATTACCTTCATGATTGTGGGGCTTGTCTATCGTATACTAAATCATATGAAAAATTTGGTCATTATGCAGCAGGTAATATTTACCAAGCATAGGTCTAATGAATCAAAAATTAGCGAGAAAACATTTGTCTTTTCCAGGTTGGTCAAAATATGTTCAAATAGGCGCCGTGGATTGTCGGGTAGAAGATATCATCTGCATTGACAAATTTTATCCAACATGGCGTGTATGTGTATGATAAATAACGTTTGCTATATGTATTTTACAATGTTATATCTGTTTTTAGATATTTTGTCCATTGAAAAATTCTACAATTCCACTTCAGACAGATGACCATCCCATGATCGAAGATTTAATCAAAACCGCAATCCAAAAGTTGAATGATGTCGCCAACGATTGTTATGGAGAAAACTGGCCGATTAAAAACGAAATCAAGTATTTAAGACAATTCTTTTATTAAAAATATATTTAATCATTTTCTTTTTTCATTCAGACCGTCAAGCCCAGACGATTTGAATCGTTTTTTTCCGTCAAATATCACTACACTCAAACTGTTTGTCAGTGACGATCCAGTTGCCTATACTATGGTAAGTTAGAATGGAGAGATCACGAAACATCGAGTAAATGTCATTATTTCTAGTATACGTTGAATAATTCCGAAACGATTGACAAAGAACCAGTATATCGTATATCAGAGCAAAATTCAGTTACTAACAATCAGGATAACGGTGTGTGGAAAGTGTCGAAAAGCGGTAGAAAAATATCAATGAAGCTGTATGATGTGATTTCATATAGTTTTTAGACGTTGAAATGTCTGGTTTTTTTTTTAGCATACAGACCAAAATTGAGCCATTTGCATTAAGTAATGACAGTCATGATGATAGCACGAAAGAGATAAACCTGCCAAAACTGTCAGACGTCAATTTGTACGTATAAAAATGGGCTATATACGAGGCTATTTAATTAATTTCTCTTTTGTTGCATTCTAGAAACGATGACCCTAAACAACGTCCATACGTTGAAGATATTGATAGTACAATTGTGCAAATGTTTACAAAAGGTGAGATTAGACGAAAATTGCCATCGATGACGTCAAAATTGAAGGATTGGCTCAGTTTACTAAACACTGTAAGTTACATAAACTATTTCGTGATTGATCAAGAGAAAATGACTGATAAACGTGTGTTGAATGGAATTATGATAAAATGATTGATACGGCGCTGCCAAATGCCACCAAATTTCATTTTTTCGTCTTCTGTGCCCTTTATCTTGGCAACGAAGCAACACTTATTTTATATCAGTTATGGGTATCAAGCGGATCAAAATTTCTAGTCAAAATAGAGACCGTCACGGAATTCCAAAAAATAGACATTTCTGGGTATTCTAGTAAAATGTAAATTAGTCAGCCTCAGATTAATTCTGAAATGATCGCTTTGTTATCAAATTAAAGCTGATAGTATGGGCTATTATAATCACTAGTTCCTTGAACTAGTTCCCTGGCAGAGAAAATTGAAAAAAAGTGAGCGTCATGGAATTTCACCATTTTTACTCTTCTTTTCAGATGGTATGGTATATATTTTTTCTGTCACAGAACTACTTATCAAGCTCTGATTTACACCCAGATGGTTAGTTTGAGGTGCCCTCTATCCCAAAACAAAAGTTTGGCATTTGGTAGAGAATTCGATGGTATAGTTTCCGCAATTTTTATAATGAAATGAAATCTAAAATGGAAATAATAAAAGAAATATCTTGGTCCGGAAATTGAATTTAAATTTTCGCTATGAAAATTTAACTTTCATTTGTTTTTGAATTTAGATTCGTAATTAGCGCGAAAAACTGCGTCTAATAATATATTTCTAACTTTTGTTCGAGTGAAAACAAAAACTCGAACCTTCTCATTCGAAGAATGACCATTAGCTGGCCACGCTGAATAGTAAATGTTTTTCACGAATTTACATAAATAAAATGTACTGGATTCAGTCTCTAGTTAAGACCTATTTTTTTAACAAAAAAGACTCATAATACAATATCATGGTTTACATTCTGTTACAAAACGTATTAAAAAATACATATTTCGTATTCAAATTTAACCTGCATCTTTTTAAATGTCTTCATATTTTCTATTCTCTTTTCCTTTCAAAAACTGTAAAAATCTGGTGCGTTATTCTTGAATCTCTCTTTTATTCAGTACTATCCGGGCGGTGAAGTTGTGAAAAAGTTTATTAGTAATTTAAATGATTTTACGAAAAATACGGATCGACTGAATGCATCGGAATTAACCAAGTATATTAACAATTCGGTATGAACGCTTAATTTTTATATTTATTCTAATTATAAATATTTTTTTGAATGTGGGATCTAGAATGTTAAACTTCCTGGAATTAATTATAAACATTGTAATGGTTCATCACCTGCATATCGTGGATATACATGTGGTTTATGGACACTATTCCATGCCATGACTGTTAAGCAAGCAGTTCAATTTGAAAACACGAAAGGTATGTTTACGCTGTTTTAAGGGTACGCTCCTTCCTCTTTTTTGTAAAAAACTTTCCATTTTGAGCTGAACATAGTCTAATGTAGAGGAAAGTCGGGGCTATAAAATGAGACCAATCCTAGCTCTCCACGACCTTCCTGGAAAAAACTATGAAGTTTTTAACGTTTTCCTTCAAAGCCTAGAAAATGTCAATTTCTTTTAGCTTCGTAACCCATCACCCTCACCTCAAAGCATAATATGGCTTTTCTGGAAATCTCCATATTTCATTAGATCACATTATGACCTCTTGGAAAAATGGTCCGATTGAGCTGGAATTTTTACCACAGATACTTTCTACCCTATCTCAGAATAGAAATTTTTATTTTCGAAAAATACTAAAAATCCTATATAAAAAGTCGGTTTTTTATTTTAAAAACCTTTTCATACCGAAATTTGAACTCGAAAATGCTTAAAAAAATTTCGAACCTGAAATATAGTCGAGAGTATCTGTGGTAAAAATATCAGCTCGATCAAATCATTTTTTCGAGGGTCGTAATGTGACTGGATTGAAGGAACTATCGAAAGAAATCTTACTGAGAAAAATACATATTGTACAAAGCATTTTTTTTTCAGGGCATTGCAATGGTGTTTATATCTCCACGAAAACTCATCGGAAATTCTGGAAAAATCGTCTCATTTTGAAGAGCACACTTCTTCTCCCAGACTGTGTATAAGAAAAGACCTTGAATATACAGAAAAGGAGAGATGGTTTTTGATGAAGTCGGCCCAAAACAATTTCAAAAAAAAACTATATGGGTGTAATCAGCATCGAATCCTGCACAAGATAGTCCATTTCGTTTTTCAAAATTTTCACTTTCATTTTTTTCGATAAAATTTCCACTCCTATCCCAGACCTTTGGAACATTGAAATTTTTTTGTGTCACATTTCAATAAAAAAATACATCATTCTATGCAGAATTTTATGTTGATCACGAATATCACGTTAATTTTGCATTTAAATGCATTTGAAAAAAGAAAACGACTTTTTTCTCAAAGATGTTCATCTGTGCTCTCCTATAAAAATTGGCCGACAGTCGTCCGAAAGTTTCTTATATACTTTTAAAAATCCAAGTACTTTAGGATTTTAGACGTGATATTCGGAAAGAGGGCGCATTTTTACATATACTACTTGGATTTTTAAAAGTAT